TAGGCCAGAAACGGTCGATGATATGGTGTAGTTGTGGAGATTCTTCGTCGCTGGATCACTTCCAAACTGCAGCTTAAACTTATGAGATCCTGCACTTTAAGTTCAGGCAGCAACCTTCCCATCAAACACAGCCTCTAAACTATGCATACCTGCCTACATTTTTCAGAGTAATGTGTCAGCTGATGAATGTGTTCATAAGCACACCATCATTCAGCCTTATCGACCACCACATGACCCACTATAAGGGTGACCTTGTTTCTCCTCAACTACAGACAGTCTCTTTTGAGATAAATTTTTGATCGATCACATTCACTAACGCGTCGTGCAATTTGGAGTTTTCCTCCTTGTGTGAATCATGTTACTTTTCAGTCATTTCCAGTGTAGCCAACTGTCGCTTGTTAACTTGTAACTTATTTAGACAACATCTATAGGTACAGTAACATGCTTTGGCTTTTCTGATCGTTGTCCCTCCCAGGCCTGAGTGGAACAAATCCAGCATTGCAGTTTCAACCGATGGGTTGCATATCGCTCCAGTCATCTTTTCAGTAAATGTGAATGCATTCTGATTGTCTAGTTAACTTGATATACCAACAATCTGAGGTATTATTGAGTGTACCTGTACTGACGTACTAAACTCACAGGAACCAATGTTGTGGAATGCAGTCAAGCCCGGGTTCGCTGCTTGGTTGTTGGTCTGTTCGCTGAGCTTGGTAGTTGGATTTGTTTGATTCGTTGGAAATTTCTTAGGTGGCTAGTTACGAACATCTCCAAGGTTTCCTTAAAACCCAAATCCCAGCAAGCCGTCTCGGGAAGAAATCTTGGTTTTCCGAGGTCCCCTCTTCTGATTTACCTTAACAAGCTATCCCGAAGATCGTTGCGTTTTGTAGGTTGTAGAAATACCGCACACTTTCTCCCCATGAAGCTTAGATTCTTACACATAAAAACAAAAAAGATAATAGGGCGAAGTTCAGCACTTCCCTAACCCTAGTCTCAGATACAGTTGTCCCCTATTGGAGGGACCGTTGAAAGCTGCTTCAAGAGATCAACCAAAATTGACCCCTTTTTAACGAAGGACAACTGTATCCTGGTAAAAATGTTTAGTTCAAAACCCATCTAGTTGAAGCAGAACGACTGCGACAGCCGTGATACTTAGGTTGGTTTCCTTAGTTTACTCGATTGTAGGTCACTTGCATTCCGATGCATATCCGTGAATAAATACTTGTTCGAGCAGCACAGAGAATATCCTCACATAGTGCACTTTCCATGACCTTCATTTGGCTTTATTTACAAGGTAGAATCTCCTGGAAAAATCCCACATCTCACCACACTACCAGCAATGCTGAGTTACACCAGTGTGTCCGTACTGGCCGCACGGCGCACTGAACGCGTAGTACTTTCCTCTCCGAATATTGTAACTTTACGTTAATGCTTTGAATGATTGTTTTGTGTTGTAGCCGGAACATAATCTGCTCCGCGGACCCAACTTTCAAACTGTGTAAGTTTTATCCGTGTTTTTCACCTTGCAAGTGTTTTTACAGATACAGATTTAACCCGTTGTATTAGTGATTTCGCGAAATCAATAGCGATAGAATTTCTCAGTGTTGTGGTTCATGGATTTTAGCTGAAACGTCCACAAAAATACAACAGACGTTATGCACCGTTATGTCGTATATTAAGTCTCCCTCGCTTCCTGTTCCCCATTCTTTCAGCCCCAGCTACTTTGATCTGGTGGCCCGGTGCACTGCCACCTTGGCCGATGTTGGAAGCTCCATACGTGCCCACACCCTTGAGAGAGGATCTCAGCTAACCAATACTGTTCCCGAGAACAACTGTTCCGACGTGCTGTCCGACATTCCTGTCGGTGTAGATCAGAACGGAGGAGCTAAAGGCCCTACCTTACTTCATACTACCGATCCGCCATCGGTAGCCGTCCAGAACCTGAACGATTTACCTCTTTTTGGCAATATTTGTTATCGCCTGACTGCCCAACCGAATTCGGCCCATTCACCTCTGCATTCCGGCTACATGTGGATACGTGTAGGTCTTTGTTCACCGGAATGAACTATACTCTGTGTTTTCCCGTAGGTTGATATTGTTGCTCATCCTGTTGCCAAGGCTCCTCAGACGGTTCTTTTAGTCTTCCTCATTACATTTTATGCTTGTGATTCGTGTAGTTGTTTACCTTTCTGTTGTGTTGTGCGGTTCGCACGCGCGCGAGTGTGTTTTTGGGCCGAGTTGTATGCCATTTTATTGTGTGAAGTGTGAAGGGAGATGGGTTTACATTCCTGTTTGATAATTGCACGAACATGAATATAAATTGACCTGACGTGGTTGAAGTTCGTAAGCTTGGCGCGTGACGCAAGTGGTAGTCACGTAAGCAAAAATGGATGGGAAATTGCAGTGTAATGTTGTCGGCTAAAGTTGCAAGCGGGACAAGGTTTTGTCACGGGATTTGTGCGCTTGCGGAACAAAGGGATCGCGTGATCTAGTGAGCACGGATGCACTAGATAAATTAAGCGAAGTTGGTTCAAGGTAGTGACCGCTACACTCCTGTCCTGGCAAAATTTTTCTGATGAGTCCATACTAAAGGCGAGAAGCACTGGACTCAGGTCTTGTTCCAATTAGAGCTCGCATCAGCAGTGCGTGTCGGGGTTTGAACTCCGGACATGTGACATGTGGGGCGAGCGCACGCTGAACGCAACTGGATTATCACGTTTGAGCAGGCGAACATGTTCACGCTTGAGATATGTGGTTTGTTTGCTGACGTCTCGATTGATAACCCAGTTGACTGTCCTGAGTATGCTGATCGATTGACCCGCCCGTCAGGTTTTTCCACGCCACAGACGCTTGAAACCTGCTGGGAAAATTTTGTTTAGTTAGTTTTATGTGGTTGTAATTGGTTTGAAGTATTTTGTCGGCTTAATGTCTGAGCATGTGATTCCTCCTTTCAAATGCGAGCAAATCTCCGCCGCCACAGTTAGCTGTCTGTGACTAAGGTATAATGCCTCGCGCCGGATCTGCCGCACGTCCTACAGGTTTGGTGTCAAAACCACCACCACAAATGAATCAACTTCCATCTACATAGCCCTAGCTACCGAAATTCCCCTCATTAGCTAACCAACAAATCCTGGTAATCACTGGCGCTTTATCATGTTATCGTGAATCTTTTAGGTACATTCGTCACAGCTCACTCACACATTGTGCCTCTGAATATGACCATTGCCAGTAGCGTTCTCTGATGGGAGCTCGGGCTTACTCAAAAGGTATGGCTCTTCGTTTTTTCCCCGGGGGGATTGGCCTTGTTTCATTTATTCCAACTCCTACGGGTTGTTTGGAAGATATGTTTGAAAATTGTTGTGGACCACAGTTTTCCTTATGCCTTCTTGATACCGTGAACCTGAGTCTGAGTAGCCGCTTGATGGCCTGGTTCCCTTGGCCAAACCAGAAAGCCAATGAACGTGCGAATCAGCTGATCTACTGAGCACTGACGCTTACAGGCGTGTTATGTGCAGCCGAAAATGGGCTGTTTATAAAGCTCACGTGGAAAGTTCTGGGCCAGCCAAAAACTGATGCTAAAAATAAAACTCATCTTCAAGGACAAGTGAAGAGCAACCAATTAAATTTGCCTCAACGAAAACGGCTATTCCATTGGCAGTTGTGTAGTCCAGTTACGTTTGGACCTAGTTCCCCTATTAAAAATGCACCACGATTAAGCTACTCAATGTTATATTTAATTCATTTGTCCTTTTAATGAATTTGTCCTTTTGCCCAAAGCGTTTCTTGAGATTTTTGTGGGCGGTTTTGTACGCACTGAGAAGCACGACAGAGTTGGGCCTTATGAGTTCGAATGAACGCAGCTCCGGTACTAGTCAATACCAAACCGGACGTGCGTCAGCTGTAATTGTACATCAACTATACAGTAGTTTCATGTAAGAGGTGTGCCGATCCGGCTTTTTCATTTGTATAGTGGTTGATTCTCAATGGATTGACTGAAACATTGTTAGGGGTACACAACCATTGCACGAACATGATGTGTTCTTATAATGAATAGGCGGTACCCAAACTTAGAGTTGTTTCAGGGCGTTCGTGCCCCATTCTGTCTAGTTTCCGCTCTCCTAACTAACGATTTGCAAGCTTGGCAGTGTGCTGCAATATCGGTGGCTCGGCCGCGTTTATTGCGGCCTTATCTTGCTTGCAGTTGGCTCGCTTTATGCCCCATCTCTGTTGTAACTTCTGTCAACTGTCCTTTCATTTGGTTATTTTTTGACTAATCTCCGCCTTGTCATTTGTGTTCACAGAAACTCACAGCATCCCCAGTTCAATCGCCGGCCAAGCTGTACAGCTGCGAGCTGAAGGATCGATACCTATGGGCGTATCCAGTGGAGGCAGTTATAGATCAAGAAGAGGATATCTCCAACGGACCAGTTAAAGTAAGTTTTGTGTATTTCGTAGTTTATCTCCCGCATTCTTATGTTTTCTGTTCTGTGTTCATAGTCTCTGAAACTACGCCCTAGTGCATAACGGCGGTGCCACCAGAACACCACAACCGTTCTTCACGATCATCTTCCCTTGGCGGTCATTCTTGGTGGATCCCGTTGAAAACAAACTTTTTGGTAGCCAAAGACCCACCTCTACCTCATCAGCAACGTTTTTTCGCCCATGATAGGTGGAATATCATTCATAACGTTTCCAGATGTATTTGCCTCCACTTACAAACTCCAGGTTACGTTGTCTTTTACAGCGTCCATCTCCAGGAGCTACCGTTCTCGACCAGTTCGGTCGAAAACTCCTGTGAAGTGATAATTTAAAAGTTTGGCGACGACGTTCCTTAGTATTTTATGCCTTGATGTTGTTGACCTTAGGGTGACATCTAGCAGTTTATCTTTCTGAAGGCATTCCCGTGATTGCGGCAGTGGTCAGTGCCTTCTAATTCACCTTTTTCACTGTGATACCGGTTGGTTCGTTTGCTCACCAAGGTTACTACGTGAGAATGGTTGATCGCAACCGATACTGAGCTTGAATAATGAGACCCGAGCTATTCGTTTGCTAAGAGGGACCGTGGTTTCTGAAAGGTTCACTCTAACCAGGCTCTTCATCTTAATGGGGACGCATCAGCTGTTTATGATGGTATCAGCCACGTGACCTCAGCATACCACGCTGGTCGACCAGACGTGTGGAGCGTGTTTCTTGTTTGTAACGGTTGATTTATTCGAACGATCTGTTTGTTGCCTTCGTCACGCTAGCCAGTTTGTTTGTCGGTGTGGTCACTATATAAACTGATCACTGCCGAACCATAGGTCTTAACTTTGACCGGATGTTTATGAAAGACTTCTGGTCGGGTTCCGAAAAAGCTCAACCAGACAAACGTTTTTTTATTGAGATGTATGTTAGATCGGTTACAGGGCCTGATTACTATCAGCTGATTTGAAACGATTGATTGCTGGCCAAAGCAAATAGCCCAGCTCGTAACGAGCAATCAGAATGCTTGAACGGGTTGACAGCTGGTAAAAACAAATCACAAATTTTGAGTCTGCATGTACCTTCACGTTTGAAGCACCCACTCGTGTCATTGGACCAATGGGTCAGTACAAGACAACAAGACTACAAGTAGTCCCCTCTAAACTCACTATTCTTTCGGTCGCGTCGGAAACTTCCTCTTTTGGTTTTTCTCCCAATATCCTTGTGGGTCGGGATCTTTGAACCGGACAAGTTATTGAACAATAGCACTAACAGACATTGCTCGTTCGAGTAGTCAGCAATGTCCCTGGATCAAACCAACCGCCTCCAAAACACAGATGTGCTTTAACAGAATACTGGAACAACTCAACAAAAAGGAGTTTGTCAAGCCTTTATCCCCATCACATGATTATCCTCCCATCAGTCTCCCGATGTTCAGCGAATCAGCTTTTGGCCCCTAAAACCGAACTATCGCCGTCACACAGCTTGCAGTTCAAATAGAATAGAGTAGAATGGACCAACTACAACACTGATGTTGCTCATCAGTACTCCCCCAAACCGCGAAATGCTATATCTTATGCCAGATAGGTCTTGTGGATTATTTCACATCACCGGAACATCGCGATCCCACCTTGGGATGGGGTTCTCCTCTTTGAAGAGAATTTGTTTCAGGGAGGCTGTGTGCTCGGTTACCTCGAACGCTGTCACTGACGTGCAATGCATTTTAATTTACTGTTGCCGTGTTTTCTGACGAGTTCTCTACCTGTACCTGATGAATTAATACGTTCAGCGACACAAGTTCGAATCCAAATAGTACAACAAGCATATACGCGGGGTGAATGCGATGAGGCAACGAGAACTGGGGTTTTACACATTCGAAGAACTCATATTCACGACTAGTCGTTTCTTTCTTCAGGGGATTCGAATTGCGCACCTATTTGACGCTCTTCTCAGAACTATATGCTAGTTTTCCTTGTGTTCAGTTCTATAATTGTGCTGTTTGTTGCTGGTCTAGGTAAACGGAGAACCCTCTCCTTACATCCAACCTAAACTTCGCTTGGATATGCTCACAAAGGATCATCCGGACGGGGATATGCCGACGGACGTTGCACGGCAACCTAATGTTTTCGATAATGATGTGTTCGTCGCTCCGGAAGAGTCTAACTACGGTGCTACTCCCCCTTCAGCAGAAGGTATCCGATCACGAATTATGGCTAGTTCTCAGTGCCGCCTGAAGTTGGCCATTACACCGGTAAGATACTCTCGTTTTTAACCGCCCCACACTACGATTGATGTTCCTTCCAATGGTTTTGACACAGCTCTATGAATTTCAAGTCAGTTACTCAACGATCCCGATGTTTATCTGGCTCTCAGTCCCTAGCGTTTGTCTAGAGATATCAACTTCCCATGACTGACAAAACGGCCCCCGTATTCAGCAACATCTTAGTAGACTCTTTCAATTGTTCACAAATTTTAACCTGTGCTTTAGATAACTTGTTCATTCGATTCTTCCGGTCCGATTGTTTCGTTGCTTATGACATGCTTTAAAGCAGTCAGCTGGGGTCCACTTAGCTCATACCAAAGCTGAAACAATAGACAACGATACAACAGTCTTTGTCCTCTACTGTATCTCCGACAACCTGAAATGCTGATCAAGCACCACCTTATCTGCTCGGGCCCAAATGGTTAGAGCGCAAATTTACTGACCGGAAGGTCCCTGGTTCAAACCTGACCTCTACATCTCGACTTCTCCTACCTAGGCTTGGGCAAACGGGCAGTAACCCAGTCCTCGTGCTCCGTTCGGGTGCCATGGTAGCTAGGCACTGAAAGGGTATTCCAGCTGAATGATATTTTTATCTGCCGAGTTTTTCCGTTACTGAAAAGAGTAGAGCGATACTTTTCGGGAGCATCGTATCAGAGGGTATGAGGAGAACTGTCCAAACTGAAGTGCTATCTGTGGCTACTCACAAACAAGGAAGACGAGTCTATACCACAACGTTTCCCAGTATTCGCGTTTTCGATTTTGAAATTCTTGCTTCAGATCATGTGATTTTGTCTGATTATTCCGGACACTTTAGCGTGCGACCAGGTAGAGTGCGTTGTCTTCACCCATCACGGTGTCCAAACAAACAGTTTATCCATTCTGTAATGAAACGACTAATCACCGGGTCGGCCAATTATTGGCAACTTTTGAACGGGCCAGTTCGGTTTCCCATTCACCTAGTAATCAGTACTGAATCGTTGGTTGGTTTTCGTATTCCGGATGTGCATCGTGTTTGTCTCCTGGTTGTTGCTCACCGGAACATCGGATTGTTGTGCATGCGTATTCGTTCGACTGCTCCCGACGTTCTCCGTCGGCTGTGCTGCAAAATCACATCCACGACAGGAAACCCGGATCGATCTTTGTTCAACTGCAGCGTTTCTACATAGCTATGTTTGATCGTGTTACTTATTCTCAGATAGTCCAAATTGCCTGCAACCAATGGCATCTATTCGCCCACTTTGGTGTACCCCTTCACCTATCTACATCCTCACCAAAATATCACTTTATGGTTAAGTATACCTCGGATCTGACTGTTAACTACGACGTCCAACTGGTAATATAGAATAAGTGGAATTTCCCCATTTCTTGAAGGTAAATCCAACCCACACTAAGGGAAGCGTCCACAACCTGCTTTCTGGATAAGCCCATCGTTTGTTTGGGGTCTATGGGATTCATTGTCTCTTGAGACGTTTTCTTCAATGCAAATGACTGAATTCTCAATTTGAAGAAAATATGACTTGCTCTTTTACAGCTTCCTTCGTTTAGCATGGACTCTTCGGTCTAATTGAACTATAAACGGAAGAGTTGCTTTCTCTGGACCCATCTGTTGGATCCAAATTATGATTCAGAGCTTAAGACTCGAGTTATTGATCGAGCCATCCGGCCCCTCGTTCTTCCTTCAGTCGTACGCAATACACCTGCCGTAGTTGAATGACTTAATTTGATTTTGAGCTGACGAGCTCGAGATGGCTCACTCGTTAAGGTGTGACTTTCCCGATCGCACTATCCGTGATTCGCAGCCAATCCCTTCATCTTGACTGCTCATGTTTAAGCTTCCGGAACCTGGCACTATCGCAGCTCTCGTGTTTCCTTCGGGTGGCCTGGTAGGTGTACACCAAAAGGTCCTTGCAGCTGGCTGACTGACTGTTTTGAGTTAAGGCTGACTGATTCATAAACCGAAGCTGTATTCCGTGACCCAGCCTGGTACTCCTTAGCTCTTCTGTAAAGATCATCGCCTACTTAGCTAGTCCTTTTCCTTATTGAATGCTTTGGTCCTCACTGGTCACGCTTCTACTTTCTGACCTTCTATCATTCAGAAAACCCTGTTCCTCGATGTGAAACCGGTTAGTCGCCTTATCCATGTGCTCTTGCCCCAAGTTAGCAGGCGCAGCCGATCGACTGTGGTGAATAGTGAGTCTGTATCAACATCCCGTCTGTTGGATAATAGGTTGGTCGTGTCAAGACGTTTGTCAGTTAGTTCACAATGCCTAATGGAAAACACGTCGCCAGTACGGGATTCACCAGCAGAATTACCACCGAGTTTAAATACCTTCTCGCCAAGTGACGATGTATATCCCGTGTGCAGCAGATCGTTGACAAACCTGCGAACTTCCAGTGAACCTCCGTACAAACCACCAAGCTGGAAGTCGATGGAATGTGTTACCTGTGTTCGCATACCATCTTCAAGTTCCATTTGTGCGCGAAAACCATCGACCTCAACTCGCCAAATGGTCCTCACTCCGACTGAACCTGCACCAGTTTGTGTTCCACTTTCTCTCGAAGCTGTTGCTTCCTCCGTTCTGCCTGCTGATACTGCAGCCAAACGATCTAGCATTTCTACAGTGGACAGCAGTCTTAATCCTCGTTACTCCCTTTGTTCAAGGTTAGGCGTTCCGCGACATCGTTTAGCGCATCAACAACTTTTGTCTCGAAAATCACGGTCTCTGGACTTCCCACAGGTTACTGCGCACGCATCACGACTATACAATGTTCTTCGACTTTCTCAAGAGGCACTTTCTGAACCCGTTCCTCCGGAGACTGATAAAGTTGGTCAGTCCACTACTCCAGAGAAGGCTACTTGTATGGGGACTGACGCTACGAGTTCTACATCGCTCTCCCGAGATTCTCCGGACGACGTTCTTTTTTCCACCTTCCGCATTGCAACTAATGGTTTGTCGTCTCATGATTTCCACGTGGACCTTCGACGAACTTCGTGGCATGACAGCCATAATAACCGAAATGGGGATAATCTCGGAAAAGTCAGAATGACTACTATTGCGGAACTGTACGAATTCGCCGTGTGTACCACTCCATCAATAATCCGACTGGTGCGGGACGCGTGTAGACCAAGCCATGGACTGGAGAACGAGAGTGAGGCATTAATTTGGCTCGACCTCCTGCACAAACACGTAGAAGAGCAGAGTAAGTGCTACTCATAAGACTGCTGAAAACTCTTTGACAGCCCACGACCGGTTTCGCCCTTGTTGGGGTTCATCAGATAAATACAGCTTTCGAGTGGGCTGTCGAAGAGTTGTCAGCAACCTTGTAGTTTCCTTCATAAGTGTTCTTTTCTTCGTCCACTCGTTACTTTGCTCCAAACGGATTTTCGTACGTGTGGAGATTGCTTGGTCTAAGGCTTGTGCTTGTGCTTCTATCCAAAATTGATTCCTTTTTTTGATGTTTCCTTCACACGTTCAAACATGGCAGGAAGAATATCATATTCAGCAAGGTCATCGCTGAAAGTATCACTTCATTTTCAGATACTCTGATGAGCCTTTTTATGTTTGCTAGATTAGACTTCAGCACATGGAAATGTTGATCGGTTTTGCAAGAACGAAACAGTTATCCACCAAGGTAGAACTGTGGTCAGCCCCGAAAATCAACCCATTCGTTTCGTTCTGACTTGAAGAGACCGGTTAGATGTCGCGGGATCCCTCTTTCGCCACAGCACCACGTAGCCACCGGCAAAGAAATCACACCAACAACCATGCTTTCCTACCTGGATAAGATACTGTTTCCCATACACTGTTTTGGGCGTTGTGGAGGAAGGGCTGACTCACTTTCAGACCAGCCACATAGACACTAACTGTCAGTTTTTCAACGCAAGGGCAAAGCCTAGCCAAAGACATTATGTTGGGTTGTAATGTCTTTGGTCCCACGAGCGGGCAGTGTCCAATGTCTCTCCAATACACTTCAAGAAACACGTGGACTGTTGATGATTCCGGTTGACCTGTCGGCGAACTATCGCTAGCCTCTTTCCGCCGAGAACATAACTTGGTTCCCCCCATCGATATTTGGCATGCTTATCATTCCTTCGTTCACAAACAAAACGTGAGATGCCTAGGGTCCGCCGCTCTTCGGTTGTTGTCTTGCCTAACACCGAGTAGGGGATTATTGTAGTTCACAGTAAGTCAGAAGAACACGTAAGTATGGACACGGGTGTATTGAGTACACGCGGCCAGACTGGTCCGCTTTCGTGGCAGGTAAGCAAAACAGCTGAGTCCCATATCCAGTCAACCCACAGCGCTCACGCGAGCCAACCAATCGGACACGCATCCAATCAGCCGCTCAAGTCACACGGCAGATCGATGGTGGGACGACGAACGGACACACACACGCGCTACATCTCGGACACACCGAAGCAGCTACTACGGGGATTATCTTCTTTGTCAACTTGGTGGTCAGCTGTAATAACCGCGTACAGTGGTTCTAGCTGCCACAGTTTCGTTCACCGATCATTCGGGGAGGTGGGATAGGTAGATGCGCATTGGAGGCCGGAGCTGATAAATTAGCGCGTGGGTACAGCACTGTAGGTGGACTGTTAGGTGGGTGAATTGGGAAGGCAATAGTTTGGATGCATGAGCGACATTGAGGGTGCGACTGGGCCATGTCTGACAATGTTTTTGTCAACTGTCATATGTAGGTTAGCCTGCTTTATCCGGCCGGCAGGTACGCCGCAGAGCAGCGTTTTCCTAGCGAACCGGATGCGAAACATGAACAGAACGAATTTCACCCGGAAACTAGGGTTTGTATGTTGTGTGTACGACAACTGAGTCACATATCCAGTCAACCCACAGCGCTCACGCGAGCCAACCATGAATTCATCTCTCCGGAACTGATGTGCAATTTTTCGATTAGTAATTGCTCCCATAATTGATTGATGAGTGATTCCAATTGAATTCACATTGCTGAGCCGAAGGGCCCGCATTCCCGGAAAATTCTTATATAGCTTGCAAATTTTTTAATGCACGAAATCCTTGCTCGACTGGTCATACTCTCAGTCCTTTTTTCCGTATCCCTCGGGTTTCACATGTCGTTTGATCGATTATCAATAAGTTATAGCTGTAAATCCCTAACAAAGCTTCCAATATTGTATTCAAAAGGCACTCCAGCATTTCTGTGCTGTGTGCGAAGCAATCTCCAAACCGCTTCCGTACAGCAAAAAGGGGGATTCAAGTTTCGAGCAACTCTCCTCTTCGATTTTGGATACTATTCGATCTGACTGGGCTTTCCAACCTGCAGATGTACTTCAAAAGCTACAGTCTCCCTCGAAATCATTGCATATTGCTGTACAAATAACAGATCAAACTGTTTTCCCCTGAAGTTCCGGTCTAAATGGATCACCACAAGTGCTAATTTGGCAAGCTGCACAGAATCTGACACAAACGACTCGGGTTTGTTTTTCTGCGATAAACGGGTGTACCTCACCCCTTGCTTCGTAGAATTGGGACAGAGCTTTATCGGAGCTGAACCATAAAATCAAAGTATGATAAGGTAGCTCATAGAGATCGGGACCAAAGTCTTCGAAGAAATCTTGGAACCGCAGTTATCGGAGCTCACGGGACTACCTGACTTTCACCATGGAAACGACGGGTTTCAAGTTGAATGATACATCCAAACTTTTCCCCTCCAATTGTTGCTGATGAAAGGCATAATACGTGGACGTAGGAACCGGTAAAGTAATATATTCCAACTAGTATTTAACCTCTCAGGCACCCACCTCACACTAACTGTCACACACCAGGTTCAAATGTGGTGAACTGTAGTCTTTCGCGGCTCGCTTCAGTTCTTCAAAACTGCTTCATATAGTCGTTGTGACTGACTAGCTAATTGACCCCACCAGTGATCACTTAACATTGAGCAGTCCTCAGTATTCACTGATTTTGACTTTGTGCTGCCGTTAATTTCCCCCGTTTTCCAGGACCTTTGTGCTTGTTAAAAAGCTGGTGTTTTGAAATGAATAAACTTTTCAGGGCTATCACCCACGAGTTCCTTGATGAGGTCTCCGATGGGTTAATTTGATCAATCAGCAGTTACACTATCTCAGGACAAACACGAGTGATAGTCTCATTTTCTGCTCCCTCATTCGTGAAAAGTTTCTCCTGGGATTCGAAGCGATGCTTCTGTGTATCCATTATCTCAAAACGTGCCCTTTCAGTAAGATTTTACATAATCTGACTGACACCACGTCGCATACTGTCGGCGAAAGTCATGCCCTTTAAAAATGGCTGAGTTCTCATGGCCTATGAAAACGACCATCTGCATGGGCGAGTGACACCTCTCCGCCACTTTTGTCCTCCACTTGTCATTGAAAATGCGACATTCATTGTCCTTGTTTCGTTTTCCGGTTGCAACAGCCAAACACCGACAGGCGTTATTCGCAGGTGTATTGTGACAAGAAAAAGTTAGAACCTATCGTTGAGGGGTAAAAATGGAGCCTGCGGCGCAGCAGCTATAAAATAGCTGTTCAGGTCAATTGCACTATCCTACGCAGGTAAACTGTCCGTGACATGAATGTGACAGGTCAACTCGAGATGAGGTAGTCGACAACACGCAAACGGCGTTTCGGGACGAGGGTGATGTTGTACGGCGGGCGTGTGTGACAATTCATTCGTGTGAGACATCATGGTTACTTGCGGGTATGCACTTGCCCGGGTTCATTACCGGCATGTGCAAACATCCCTAGCGCTCTGACATATGTACTGCTGCGAATCCGTAGCCTTATCGAGTTGCTTGTTCTCCCATTCAACCGGCTCATTATAATGCACCAATCATGCCGCTTCTTGCAGGATCCTAGTTCCACGTTTAACGTTGATAATTAATTCAGTGGGATTCGCGGACTTGTGCCGCGAAGTAACAGTGCTTGCTTGGTTTGTCGTTTTCCATCCATCCTTTCTACTGCACTTCGTTGATCTCTTCTGTGCCTCTAATAGAGCAGTCACAACCAGCACTCCGGAATGTCACAAAATTAGCAAAAGGTTGCTTGTCATAGACGTGATGAATTCATCTCCTGGTAAAAGACGGTTTCAGAGAGGTAACAGTTGGAGACGTCCAAGCATCTGACTGCAGGCGAAGTTGGGGCACAGCCGTAGAAACTGAACAAGAAGTCTCATTCGGGAGCGTAGCTCGGTCTAACGAAGGATTAAGTGTGAAGACATAGATTTGCGGTGTTGTGAAGGCTATGAATTCAGCTTCAGCCTGGTCGATTTTGAGCGCGTATTTAACGAAGCAATGCGAGATGCTGATGGAGCATGGCAAAAGATTACTATCCGTATGATCCGCTGAAAACTTCTTTCGTTTCGAATGCACTACTTATAAGGTTGCTGAAAATTCTTCGACAGTCCACGACCGGTTTCGCCCTTCTTGGGGCTCATCAGGTAGGCGCAGTCCTCGAGTTTCCGTCAATCTTGTGTTCTAATTGAAACCAAATTGCACGAAATTAGCGAATATACACTCATTTGCAAACTAATTTGGTTTTTCGGGAGACTCACCTGGAACCTGCAAACATCAGAAACAAGAGATTCAGCTGGGTTCCGGGTGAGTCTCTCGAAAAACCAAATAAGTTTGCAAATGAGTGTATATTCGCTTCTTTCGTTTTCTTCATTTCCACCTGTTTTAGTAATGGGAAAATTATCCATCGGTTTGAAACCGACCTCCCCTCCAGCTCGAACTGTTTTTGCATTATCCTCGCCTGTGTCGATTTCTTAATGATTGACCGTGACATACGCCGTACTTGGAGAACCTCCATGGGTATTTAGTATTGATGAGCCAACTGTTTCAGGTAGCCGTGAAATCACTTCACGACATCGTCTGTGGTGAGGCTTTTAACATGGCGTGTGTATTGGGGCTAATGAAGCTAGGTTGAAGCAAGTTTTGACGTTTCGGTTAGTTTATGGATCTTGTGGTTTTGGCGGGTTGAAAGCACAGCAAAACTTTCAAGCAAGTAATACAGTGGGCGACAGTGAAGCATCGGTGTTGGACACTGATATCATGCTGTCGATGATGATAATGACTGTATCGAACCCCGATGAATCCGGAGCCTACATGGTATGATAAGACGGTCCAGCACACTCCCCAAGAACCACGAGTGACTAGTTGTCCAGCAACTTAGTTATTGCATGCGGTATTTTGTGTCGCCCCAAGACACGTGCTGATCAGCGCAACTGCCGTTACGGTTATTGATGAACCAGCTGTTGAAGTTTTCATGGCATTTTCACGCCATCTCACAACTTATTGCTCCACCTGATGCGTTAGGTCAACCGTATTCAGTCCCCTCCCTATTCCTCCAACAAGGAGCGTTGCTGACTAATCCTGCTTATTTCGGTACCATCTTCAATCATTTCGAGCATGAACTTTCCCTGTGTGTGTGCTTGCCACTTTCCGCAAGCACCCTATTCCTCCAACAAGGAGCGTTGCTGAATAATCCTGCTTATTTCGGTACCATCTTCAGTCATTTCGAGCATGGACTTTCCCTGTGTTTGCTTGCCACTTTCTGCAAGCGCTTTTCGTGCTCATATGCTTTGTAAAATGTAATTGATAGACTGGACAAATAACTCAGTGGATCAATGCTCAGTCTAGATTACACTCCTATACGTGTTTGATATTTTTTGACAAACCATTGTTTATGCAGCGCAACGATATTACTTGTGTCTATTAAACTTTATTTACAGAAACATGGGGTTGGACTGGTTCATCCCATGACCCCCCGGTGTTTCCGTGACATTTTCTCACCCGATCCGGACAGTTGGCTCCACAGACGAACCACCATAGTCGAGCCTCGGCTTACCCGACGCTACATCGGACAAGTCCAACTCATTCCACCAACCGCCGCTCATAACCTCCTTTTTTAACTGTCAGAGTGCAATCGTCAACTGTAATTCTTCTCGTTTTACTCTACGTTTCCACCTACTTTCGTTCCTCTTTGGACAGCGTTCTCTTGAGGCATATTTTTGTATTTTCTCTACTTTGTCTAACTCGGCCAAGCTAATATGCCAATCCATTGTCGGATGGGCACCATTGTTGTTCTCCTGCTTGCGAACTAAATGTTTCTTTTGCTTGTTTATCGATTGTCAAACCGCTGGCACTCGAATGCGCCCATCTTGTTTCTTTCGCTGAAAATAGTGCTGGCCAGTATTGTTAGAATACTGTTTTCTGGTATTGGTTTTCCTGTTAGGACGTATGGTGACCCAAGTTAATACTCGGTTCATGTCTGGGAAACAAGCCGTCGAGTAGTTTCAGTGGGATAGTTACGAAACCTTTTATAACGGTTATTTGGCTTTCGTACTTCAGTGATTGATGCCATTACTGAGTCCTTCAGATTTTCTGTACATATAATGATTTAGGCGAGGCTACTACAGGCGAAACCGAAGACACGTGATCTCTTCTGAGCGGGGACCGTTGGAATCGAATGTAAAAAAAACGAGATTTACTCATTTTTGGAGATGGGATTCGACTCTACACCTTTTACTCTTGCTTCACCTGCTTATACTATAGGTGGACCACAAGGTCCACAGCTCTGTAGTACTTGCAGTCCGTTTACCCTTAACCTCCAATCCTAAGTAGCATTGTTTTTGGGTCAGTAAACTCACGTATTGTTCAGCAAGAGAAATTTACGCACTTGTCACATTATAGGTACCCAATGGATGTGAAATCAAATATGACTAATACTTTACAAATATTTTTCTTCATGCCAAAGTTTAGCTGGCTTCCACATGTTCATTACTGGCTGTTCCGTAGCGCAACTGCCCGACCGAATTGAAATCCACGAAGTCTCTGAGCTTCTGAGGATCGATTTCAGATGAAGCGTTCTTTTCCGATGTTGTTGGTTGAGCGTGAGCCTCATTCCGCGAAAATGCTTGCATAAGCTTCATACTCGGAAGGGAGCTAGAATAGATACATGGTTTGACAAACTGACTGATCCAGTCGCAGTCTGCAGACCATGGGGATTGTGTCGGAGTTAATGCGCTGGACAGTGCAAGTTGCTTTTTCATTTTTGTTCTGGAATGCAACAAAATGCATGCGATTTACTGTTGCAAATCGTTCTTAAGTTGTGACGCTCGGATTTAAGTTGTAAGCTGTAGGCAAAAGTGGGTTGACGTCGGAAAGTTGATTATTTCACGTGGGCAGGTAGTCGGCAAACTTTCCAACAGCGACGCTGTCAGTATACCTTGAAAGTCGCCTGGTAAGTGGCTCGAAGATCACGCTTTGTAAGAAATGTGGATAGAAAATGTGCAGTGTAGAGAGCACCAGTGTTACTTTGAGGAGCAGCGAGTGCTGCCGTACGAGAAACGAGGTGGTGATACGCAGCACCTAGCAAATGAGGCTTATCACGTGGGCAGGTAGTCGGCAAACTTTCCAACAGCGACGCTGTCAGTATACCTTGAAAGTCGCCTGGTAAGTGGCTCGAAGATCACGCTTTGTAAGAAATGTGGATAGAAAATGTGCAGTGTAGAGAGCACCAGTGTTACTTTGAGGAGCAGCGAGTGCTGCCGTACGAGAAACGAGGTGGTGAGACGCAGCACCTAGCAAAATGAGGCTTATGCAGAAAAAGTTCTCCGTCCACTGAGACGTCAAGAAAAGCATCTGACTGTGTGTGGAGGCAAAGCACTGAATTGGACAGAGGACTGCGTAGAAAAATTTCTAGACCGAAACGTAGTGTGACAACAAAGATTTTGTCAACAATACCAAAAACGATTGCCATTTAGTAAGCGAAACCTTGCTTTGGGAGAGGGAGGTGATGTCCACCGTAACGGAGCGCCATCAGAGTAGCATTCGCAAAAGCTGTTGACTTTCATTTCGTTGAGGAGCATTGGGTTTGGGTAGTAATCCAGATGCAGGTCGTTACACGCACCCACTCACACACTGGTACCTTTTACTCGAGTTTGTTTTCTCTGGACTCGTTCCTGAACGATATAAGGCATTTTTAATTTAGACGGCATTTGATTTCTAGCTAGCAAAACATCGGTGGTATAGTCGTGCTTCCGCTTCTCTCCAAAGAAGGAACGCCCATGCACACTGACTCAATCGTTTAAAACACTCCACTGAATCGATAATCGATGACTGATTTTAGAGCTGTACACCGAGTTCCAAACTCAAAGTTGTGTTGTGGGTATTGTGACACAGAAGAAGGGATGCCTGTCAGTCCAAGACTAAAGCTTCGCAGTCCAGCGTTAATGGACTTTTCTAGTAATCAGCAACCTACATGAGAGACCACATAAGGTGTCATGCCACCATTCTCCTTGCGTATGAGAGTTGTTTGGTTTTCCCCGGTAGATATTCGCAGGTTAATGATTCTCATAGGTAGATGGATGAGTTCCAGAATAGCCAGATTTTCATTCTCTTGCTTCAAGTACCGTTAGCTGGCAAGGTCGGAAAAATATTTAGTCAATCAGGTTTCTGACCTTGCCAGCCAGAAGGTAGTCATTGATACCTACTTGTACTGTCTGAAGGAACCCCATCATGGGGATGTGCCAAGTCATTGGTGTTATCATCAGGCGGCCAGGGAAGTTCTTCATAGTCCCAAAATTATTCGGCCAGCTGGAAATACTTCTCCATATTTCTTTGGCATCTTGATGGGAGTCCACGAAATCCTACTTCTAAAATGACTCATCTCCATTTGCTTTTGTACTGCTAATTGCTTTAATAGTCAGGTACTGTGCTTCATTTCTGTCCCTGAATGATAATCAAGCATAAGCTTAAGAACATCATAAACGAGGGATCTCCAGTAAGAGCCCAAATTAATGTGAAAATGAGTGCATTTGTCAAAATTTGCCCAATTAGGGTTCAAGCAGAAAATAGGGCTGACGGAAACTTGGGGACTGCGTTTGTATGATGAGCCCAAGAAGGACGTTGCTTTTGTACTGCTAATTGCTTTAATAGTCAGGTACTGTGCTTCATTTCTGTCCCTGAATGATAATCAAGCATAAGCTTAAGAACATCATAAACGAGGGATCTCCAGTAAGAGCCCAAATTAATGTGAAAATGAGTGCATTTGTCAAAATTTGCCCAATTAGGGTTCAAGCAGAAAATAGGGCTGACGGAAACTTGGGGACTGCGTTTGTATGATGAGCCCCAAGAAGGACGGAACCGGTCGTGGGCTGTCGAAGAGTTTTCAGCGACCTTATGATTAGCGTATTACGTCTGAGTTATGTATGTTTTAACCTGTCAGGTTTATGGAGCACACCGGTAGGCTCGGTTCACCAGAGTGACCACTACGACAACCAAGGGTTATCGATTGGACGAGAAAAATAAGCAAACAACGCGTTGAGTCGCCTAACTCGCGTTGTGTATGTTGATTTGGCAGACTGCTTGGCCAAACAGTGTGCTGCTGAACGCTTACGAGCAACCGGAGGTAGACCAAACCAGGCCTACCCGGGCGCAAGCCGCGTGTGTGAACACGTGACAAAGGGTGACGCGCTGTGTCACGTGAACAAAACAACATGGATTGCTCATGGTTGGTTGTTATCACAGGCTGCACATATCAACACGGATGAATACACACACATGCCTAACGGACTGCTGCATTTATCAGGCTTCACCGATTTTCAGATTTGAAACTTAGTGTGAACGTCAGAAGCTGAGTTTACGACGTCCCATTAATGCGCATATGGTGGGAACATTTGAAACAAACTTCACTCCATGCCAAACGCCACTGAACGGAGTGTAACAATTTCACAGCCTAACCACGTCTACACACGTGATTTTGTGAAATTACAACGCCCACGCTGATGAGTAAGCGTGCATTCCGTAATCGACCACAACTAATCCAAAACTGTCCCACAGGCTTCAAGCGCATGTGACTCCACGTGATTGGGAAGTCCTGATAGGCGGGCCAATCGATCGATGCAACCAAGTCGTGTCATGGCTGGGTCTTCGAGTGGTCTGGCACCCCACCACTCGTGTCACCCGTGCGTGATCATGTTCACCTATTCAGTCGTGCAAATTCAGATGTGCGGGGTTTAAGCCTCCGCTCGGCCTAAGATATGCACTGTTGATGAGCTCTTATAAGAGCGAAACTCGAGTTCACTGGTTCCCCCCTTTGGTATGGAAACACCGGAATAATTGCCCCAGGACAAACGAGACTGATGGGCACGGTAATTCTACAAATCCTGCATTACTACGACTAGATCAAAATATGCTCGAGATAGATTTTTTTCTCACGGAATACTGCATCCATTAAAGAATTGACGTCAGCGGGACAGTGAGAAACAGAAATTTATGGAAAAGCGTTGTGTAGGAACACATACGGTTCAGTTTTTTAAGAAAGTTCCGTGAACCGATTCGGGTGGAGGCCACCGTCCAGTGGCCGTTCTCAGTGTGAAGGCCATGCAAGAGAAGTAGCCCACTAAGGTATCCGTCCGTCTGATCAGACGTTCGTGTGCTGATGTCTCTAAAGCTAGCGTTTGACTAGCCATTTTTGCTGAACAACATACCGGGCTGGTGGACCTTAACTACCCAGAGGGCATGATTCATATTCTGATGAGAACAAGGTACTGTTTCTGACCAGAGATATGTCGTTGGTAGTGAGAACACTAGATTGCCACTTTTCGGTGGAAAATTGCTACGAATATGCCAGTTGCTTTTCAGCATTCAAGGCGGAATAATCCTTTACTAAGAAATCGAGATCAATCAGTGCTGTTCACCTTGGGTCGTGGCTTAAGTTGACACATGAAAGCACCCGTACAACTCTGTTAGTTTCGATTGTCTAATTTGCAATCAGCGAAGAACTTTCGCTACCGCATTTCAGGAAACCAAATTTATGATTGTCACCTGATTCATGAGGACGATCCATGTTTCGCTGGAAGCGTACTTGGTTCATTCACTTAAAACTGACGTGGCCAGTCGGCTTCCTACGCCAAACGGAGAGTGAGCAAGCGCACAAAAACCTTTTAGTATAGCAACAAGCGATAGGACCGTCTCCATCTTCGAAGTTGTTTAAGTGCAACTCAATCAATCACGATTTGTGGTTTGAGGCAAAGGATGATTCTAAGTGGCATTTTCCTGGTTTGATTGTCCCTGTGGTCATCTGGGTTGACCTTGAAGTTGACCTTGGAGTTGGGTGCTGGAGTAGCATATGATCCCAACTGTTTGGTACAGAGAAGGAGGAGAGCTTAGTCCTCTATGAAGCCCATTTTGGTATGCGGGGCCAAAAGCGTAGCGATACTGAACTGCTGTAAGTCATTATTTTGTATAGACCACAGGAATGACCGCTTTAAAAAAAAACAAGAAAGACAAACCAAAGTACAAATGGTGCTAAAATCTGCACCATTTCTGAAGGTGACGTAATTGAAGAAGGCAGGAGCTCACGTGGCCTCAGATTCAACACCGACTTATGTTGGGAGGGGACTTAAGGTACCCGAAATCATCGGTAGAATAAGGCAACATTTTCAATGATGGAAAAGACCACACGAACAGAATTATTACAGATGGGATTAGTTTTAGTCGAAATAAGGAGGATAACCTCCACTGGTTTCAATGAATGGATCTGAGTCTCTGAATCGTTTCTTATTGCATTTCGTTGCCAGGGGTAAGAAACAGGAAGACGCTTGGGATTGATTCAAAAACCATCGTTCTGGGGAAACTTTTCGATTGAGTCGGTGGATTTATGGCTGGGAAACGTTTTGCATTTGACACAAGCTTCGTCAGGCCAAGTGAGTGGGTTAACTACGGACCTTGTATTCGGAAAATTCCAAGCCAATATGTTCGAGTGGCGAAACTGGAGGAAAATGGGATCATTCGTCGCGTATTCATTATGAGGCTCTTAAAGCACAGTGTTATTTTCCCCATTCATGATCGTTAAGCCACCGGATGTGACTGTAGCTTCCTAAAACAAGATTTATCTAACTACTCAGTGTTCATCACGTTTCTCGACTCAGCCACGATCTTCAGAACGCAACCTCAACCACCGACTTCCAAGTCATCAACACAAAAGCCACCCAACTGCCATTCGCACAACTGCTATACATGATTCAGGGCTTTATTAAGGTCAAAAAAAAGCAATCCATCCATCAATTACTGTAGCCTAGTTGACTTGTCCCATAAACATCTACGAGCGTTGTCTGTTGAGTTGTTGTTCCAGAAAGCCTTTGTTAGCGGAAGCTGACAAGCCACGGGCCAATGTTCCTAAAATCCCTACAACCGGGAGCTCCAACTAGTGCACCATCACAGCGTTGAACACAGTGAAACAGGTGGATAGTATTTTCATTACGACGATAGATGAAGGTAAAGCCACAGCATTTATGAACAAGAGCGACTGTTGGCTTGTTCGCTGAAATGGGTCATTTGGTTGCAAACGTTTCATCACCAATCGAGTGGCACAACCACTACCCACCGCTTACGCACAACTACGCACTGATTTCACCTCGATTGACGATGAAACGTTTGCAACCAAATTGCCCAGCTCAGCGAACAAGCCAACGACCGTCGACGCTACCTGAGCTACCGACATTCTCCTCTATAGAAGAGCGACTGCCTTTAAAAGGTCAAACTACATCTCGCCGGTGGACCTTCCCGACAAATCAACAATTGCACCATTACGTCAATAATGAATAAGAGTAAGGTTGAAATTGGTAGGAGTCTAAGGTCCAAAGTAAACCATTTAGGGCAAGATAAGTACGGTCCAACCACGACTCTGCGGAATACCTTAAATCCATAAGGCAGATGCTTCGATAAGACAAATAGTGAACGAAATAACGAGTTGGCCAGATTTCTAGCTGGTATTCTAAAGCCACTCTCGAGGAAATAAGGCATGTACATTAGAAATTCGTATGACGTTGTCAATAAAGTCACAGGAGAGTGAGGAAGTCCTTGTGAGTTCTGACCTCACCTCAAATATCCCAAGGGCAGACGCTTTGGAGGTAATCGAGAGATCTTTACTGACAGACTCGACTTTTACAGTCTCGGTGGATGAAATAGTTGAAGGCAGAAAAATGTGTTGAAATCTTGACTCAGCTGTCGAGTCGCAAGAGCCAGGTCTTGCAATGTGATATATACCCATCCGTTCACCCACATACATGACCGTACAGCTCACCACCACTCACTAGATCTGCTTTTTTCTACACGCAAACACGTAGCACAAAGGTAACTCGTCTGACATTTACTTTGTACCGTCTAGTAAGCGTAGCAACAGCTCATTTGCTGACAACCCCACGTACACGCGGAAGTACCTACATATAGGAGTACCGAACACAACCAACAGACTCGCGAGCGTACAGGGAGCAGGAAGTCAACCTCTCTCCACAAGTCCACGAACAATTATGGAACACATGTAGCAGCTATGCTGCAGAGAAAACACTTTCCTGCCGTCCGGACCTTCATCCAGGAACTCTCACAAACTATAAGTTCCTCTTTTGACTTGCCCAACACTTCGCACGTGTTGCAACTCACCACTGTCAACCATAGTAAAAAATATTGCCAGTGCATATGCCTGCTGAATTATATTATGGCTACCATACACTGTACACTAATAGGTGTACAACATCCCCAGTCTTAACTAATATCCATGTGAAGGATTTTGAACAAATGACCTTGGCCGGATAGTACTGTCCAATCAGAATTTTTCTGCGCTACGTTGACGAGTATGTCAATAGTTTGAATTCTAACGTCCAATTGACCATGGAGATGGAGTCCATCTCGACCACACTACCATTTCCGGACCCTATGACACATAAGAATGGAGGAAAATGGAAAAAACTGCTGTCCACCAGAGAGCAAAAGACAGGGATAGTTCTGAACTACTCATCAGCACATCCAAAGTCCCTGTACGCTAGTATTTTCTCATCTATGTTCAGTCAAGTTGGAGCACTGTGCATAGAAGAGATCGACGGCACATTAGCTCAAATCGAAGTTACCAATAGACCTGAAGAAATCGGATACCCAGTGAGTTTGTTGGACCAGTCATTGTGAAGGATAATCATTCCGGTATCAAGACCTATTGGGGAATGGATTGGTGCAATAGTTACCTCATATATTCAAAGAGTGCTGAACAGAGCTTGCACTCGAGTAGCGTGCCAAAAGGGAAAAAAGTTACCCACAGTTTTGTTGCAATTGAAGGATTCTCTCTCAGTTGAAAGGGCAAGAGACTGCATTGAAAATTAAATGCAGTGATTGCACTGTGGTTTACGTAGGACAAACAGCTAGGGAACTGCACGCCAGAATTGGTAAGCATGGGACTCGGCGATCGCGGGGTATGCGTCGGACACAAGACATAGAATAGGTCAGAAAAACAGAATTTTTAAGATGGGACTGCGATTCACATCGCAGTGGCTGATTGCCGAGGTGCTGGAAATCGCCAGCATCACATGTGGAACTGAATCGGGTATGGGGGGGTTTAACGAGCCTACGGATGGCGGTCTTAGACAGGCCGAGATTACATGTGCCGACGTGTGGTTATCAGTAAACATGGAACCAGTAGTGTGTAGGAGTCTCGGGATCTAAAATTTACTGGACATCTTGAAACGATAATGGATAATGCTGACCGGGCCCTTCCTCAAAGTATTTTGAGGCATTATGTAGAAGTGTTGAGAAGGAGTTATCTGACCACATAGTTATATTAACTCAGGTTTATGACAAGGGATAGTCCTAAATTTCTGCTGGACAAATTTTTGTCATTGCATAGACGCCGCTCTAATTATCAACGGATGAATCGCTGTTGTCTACTGACCAAACATGTTGTTCCGTTGACAAGAAGTGATGATATGGTGAAGACCATTGTCATTTCGTGAGATTTATTCTGACACCCACTACGTTCCAGTAGATTCCCTATATGATCTTGGTCAAAATGGTCGACAAATAGATATTGTTATGGCAGATGTATAGAAAACAAGCAGATCGATATGTATAGGTTGGGATATTAGGCAGTTCCATGAGATCTGTCAGACGGCTTGATTGAAAAGTATAGTGGGCCAATGTGGCGCGCCCAGTGAGTGTAACCTAAAAACAGATGGAGATCCAACAGAAGTTATTCAGTTGTCCACTGAAATCCATGTGCAGATGGCTTTTTTCACGAACCAGTGCTTAAGCAAACTCTTTGGAGAACGCGGTGGTAATACCCATTTGGGTGGATCGCCGATGAGAATTGACCGCAACCCATGTTTTGCCTATTTTCATTAACTACTCGATTATGTCAGTAGCACAAAATAGCAATCAGTTAATTATTCTGGGCAGCGAATTCTGTCAGAATTCAAGCAGTCGGTCACGTGTGTGTAGCCTCCTCTGGGGGAGTGGTGTGCGTGGCATTCTCGTGGAGGGAGCATCATCTATGGAAGCGATAGTTAGACCGGTTATAGCCTTCGGAAGAGGGAGGAGAGACGAGGATTTCCTGGCAGTCGAGCAACCGTGGTTTTAGGCCACCCCCAGGTTTCCCACATCTCCCGGGTTACACTGAATGACTTAAGTTTACATTCAAATTTCCTCGTGAATGCAACAAAGACCTACCTCCTGTTTTGAAACCATGTTTTGATTTGTGTTTCGGTCAGATTCAAGTCATTGGATAGTTCAACTCGTTTGTGTACGCTCAGGTACCTGTCACGCTGAAAGGGAAACAAGATTGGTATGTCATATTTAGCAAATCACGGTGTTCCCTAGCATATGACATCGTTCAAAATACTCCCTGAATATGAGGAGTCCTCTGAGGCTACTCCGTTCTCATGACCATGAACAAGCTTTAAATACGAGGCGATCTCTCCGTCTTAGTTAACTTGATTTTTGTCACTTCCGAACTTTCAACTTCATTTTAACTGTTTCCCACCCAGTAACTCCGCCAAAGCAGGTCAGGTGTCTCCATATGAATGCATTTAATCGCAATTATTGTTGTTGTAGCGGTAAAAAGCCCACTGGACCAATCCATTTCATTTTCATTGACCATTATTTCAAACTCATGACCACGATCTCGAACCTAAACTGAAGAATCTATAAGGACACATTGTGGGGCATTTAGCCGGTGTCTCCACTGCTGTCATCGTCACATAACACATACGACACCAAAATGCCTTTGTCACTTGCTTTTCTAGCTTTCACATGTTGAGCAACGCTCATGAAAGAGCACCAAGCGAGCCTATATGTACAGATATTACCGGAACGGAACGCAACTGAAGTTGCATTTGTTCTAAATCTATATCGCAAACCAGCTTAATATATAATATATATTATATACAATATATTTATTATAAATATAATATACATAAACCAGCTTAATATATAATAATATAAGACAAGGATAATATGTCTGAACACGTAAGACTTATTGATCTGATTTGTCATAAAAGAGCAGAGACGTAACATAAAATCCTGAAGTAACCACCAACCACCTACATTCGAACGATGACAGTGATACATAATTTTTGAAACCGTTTACAGGTGTGGAAAAATCTACGCTGAGTTAGATGAAATAAAGATGGGGAAAGCGTCACATCGAACGGGGAGGTGGTATACACCTCATCTTACTCGTCACACCATCTTCGTCCTTATTCTCATCAAAAACAATAGGAGACCAGCGACATTTGCTACTATTTGATTGCTGATGAAAAGGTATGTCTATTGGGCAAAGTGAGAAAGAACACAATAGGTATTAGTGCAGAAAACCCGGGGAATTAACAGTTGTTTGCAGAAAATAATGTAACATCATTGATGTGGTCAAGCGAGGACCGTGAGGGAATGAAATTACACTCGTTGCCATGACTGTTTCCGAGTAGCCAACATCTTGGTTTCCCGTTCGACGCTCTGGAAACCTCAGTCGGCTTGGAGTCAATCCAACGCTTTTGGGAGACGTAACTCAAACCAACTTAGGGTTGGATGATTACGGTGCGAACTGTTTTCAAAATTCCTTCGATTTACCCACTCGTGACAGCGTACATCCAGTTCAGTTTTTTTTTTGGTTTTTGAATGTATCCACTCAACAATTTAAGGAGGACGGTGGGGTAAAAAGATGCTCAGCCATTCGGTACTTGAGAGTTGGGGGCTTATCCAGAAAGTATCAAAGAAGAAAACGCAGGTGAGAGATTGGTTTCATGATGGAAAAAGGTGAACTGGGTACAGAGTTACGTTGTAAGTGCAATGCTTCATTTGGTATCAGGAGTCTTATTCCAAACTTTCCTACTTGTAAGTCTAAAGGAAGTTTTGTAAGAACCATTTGGAACATCCAAGATTTAGCGCTTTGTGCGTAGCAAACAAAGGACTTACCGAGAACTCATTCTCCAGGCGTTCCAACTGTACTGACGAATACGCCTGTCTTGGTTTACGATCCCCTGTTGATCCTTGTACATCTCTGTGGAGTGCTCGACCTGTCAAGTCCTTGGAACGCTTTGTTAGCTTGGCGTATACGTTCTTTGTCGGAATCGAAGGCGACGACGTTGTACGGGAAAATTTATCGTTCCGGAAATTTTTGGAGAATATTTGCCGGCTACTTCTGTCTGTTTGACTGTAATCAGATAGACCGCAATTTGTGACAGCTGTCGTATGCGTGTCTTCGTTAAAAATTGTCTCGTGTTCACTGGGCAACGGGTGTGAAAAATTCCAGCACTGCGAATTCAAACCGGCTTCAATCACAAAATTTTTCCCCATTGTCTCTAAGTGGATTGCAGCTGACGCGTCACCAGTTCCCGTAGTCACTGTTGCACCGAATGGAAGATGCGAATAACGAAAAATTAGGAGACGAGTCAGTCATAACTCATAAAAACCTATGGACCATCCTCCTTCCAAATTTCAAATTTGAATTAAATGTATGTCCTCTGGTAGCCGCCTAAAGATAAACATAGCAAACTCCTTCAACAACGGACTTGTCAAATAGAAAATACGGTGCTCAGGAACATTTATCGATTATCCGTTGTCACACCTTTAAAATTCCTACAGGAATTTGAGACACCATAGTTATCTGGACAAAAGATATTCAGTAAAGCCCAGCGAAGCAGGAAATCCGAAATGGGCACTGTACGGTTAAAAGAGTTCGGTTCCCTAATGCACTGGTATAGTGTATTTTGTTAACAAACTGTGAAGATTGCAGCTTGGGGGTTGGATAGGTATGGTATTTTGTTCATAGCCACACCACTCGCGTTTGAACGGTCGTGCTCCTCTTCTGGCGTACTTATTCTGGTGAGACCATGGAATTCGATTCATGCACAAGCCAAACTGAAGCAAATGATTGGATGGTCCTAGTCACGTGATCCATACCAAAATATACAACCACTACATACGAGGCCCAGCTGTTTAGCAGAGGTTCGCACCAATGACCGGTCGTGGCTTGGTGGCGGAGCGGGGTATGCTTGGGAGCGGAACTGGTGGTTCGCGGTTATAGTCCGAGCGACGTCGCCAGACTTGATTTCGACTTTCCCGGTTAACGTGTTACTTCATAGGATGCGACTGCTTTTGCTGAGTTAGTTAAGTTTGAATCGAGATTTCCGAAAACACAAGTGTCAAGTTCCCTCGAAGCTTTTATTGGAAGAACTAATGTGGGAAGTCAGAAAAAGGTTGTGTAAGAAGAGCAGGTTGAAGTACGTGGATACGTTCTGTGATGTCAACATTTCTCATTTAATAAACGCCCTATTGCACATATTTCACGTGAGGAGGCGGAGGTCTCCTGCCATAAATTATTAGAATTGTTTCATGCTATTTTTTCGCGTGCACTGGCAGTCCATCTTTCTTTGGTTTATACGCTTCAACCATTTAACTCGTTTTTTCCTTGGCTTGTGCACAAACGCAACTTGAACGCGCGCGCTTCCTGGCTTGTGCACAACTAATCAATCAGAATGCTGGCTTGTGCATGAATCGCATGCCTGAGTCCACACCAAAGGGAAGCAATGGACTCGAGCATCGCACTTATTAGAGATTATCAGCAGTGCCGGGATTTGACCCCCGGACATCTGACATGCGAGGCGAGCGTGTAGCCACTATTCCACCAACGCACGTTGGACGCATCTGAATTTTCACGTCTGAACCGTGAAGACGCAATTACTGAATACGATAAAACTGATCCAAATGGTTTCGATATTGTAAGCCGGTCACGCCGGGATCTACTCACGTGGCCACCACTAGGATGGAATGAAATAATCTCTCTCCCTTTACGCTTGCAAATGTGTGTGTGCAGACACCGAACCAACGTGCAACCAACGCGTTTCAGAAGCCCTTTCCGAAGGTACATTTTGTCAGTAGATTTGCTGCATGTGACCTGTTTCTTTTGGGCAACAGTATCACGCTACTGATGAAAGGAAGGTGTTCACTGCGGAGTCATTTATTAGAAAGTGCCAAGTGAACAGTCACAGACTACTGGACAGGGAAGCAAAACTCCCATATGCATCATCTTATTTACAAAAACTGAAAATTATCCATCTTCTCCTTGAACGCGTTTTCCTGAACTTTCCTGGATATTTTATTAACTGTTGCTCAAATGCAAGCAAATGCGACTCCATAAGTTCCGTAATAAATCTCACTTTTCAAGAGAAGCGAAGCGGATTTACGGGAGAACATACTACTTTTATGCCCCCTATCAGTAGTATCACCGTTACACCAATATTATCAAAGCAGGAACACTGACCGTAGTGATGGGATGAATCTCTACCATTTTCAAGTTGGCGAATTAAGGTGTCCTCCCTCATCACTCCAGAATAATCGTAACATATGATACATCTGGTATATTTCCGTAAAACTGGGCGTTGTAGTTGAGACGTAAAAGTGAACTTCACCGATTTCGCGACCAGCGTAAAGAACAACGAAACCCAAGTGTCGCCATAGAGTTTTCGATCACTACTGTACTGTGATGCAAATGAATTATCAGGTGACAGTGTGTTACTTCGGCTTCACCCATTTCCAGGTGGCGGTTTCAATAGAGACGATGGATTTGTTCATTTCTTCGTAAACAAATGAACAGCCGTTATTACAACCCGAGCTACTAGCTACCCGGAGTACAAGAACATCTAGTCCCAGAGAAGAATACTATCAAAGCAAAAACGGTGTGCATCATCCATTACGTTGACAATTGAAATTCCCCAAGTTTATTCTGCTCCCATTGGTAACCCCACCCCAATTTTGTGTTTAGTGTGTATATATGAAATGACGTTTTTGTTTGTCCTCACCTCTTCACCCATTTGACCTTGAGGTCATCCGGTCATTTGTAGTCGACTTTGCACGTGTGACTGTCGCACGTGGGAGCCTGCTTTCTCCCTTGGTTTGTACTTTTGTAGTCCAAGTGGGCTAGTTGTTTTGGACGAGTATCTACTGTTGAGGTTTGTATAATTTGCGAATTTGTCTTACACTAATAGTACCGTATAGAAGTCCAGCTCCGACTTTGTTTTGCCTACCCGGAGGTTCTGGTATTACGCGTCACTCGAAGATACCGTTCGCCCGTTATACGGTGATTACCAATTCCTAGGAAGCTAATGTCTCGTGGGTCTGTTTTCGGCATCGGGTCATACCACTTTGAAAACCCGAAGCCTTACTAATTTTCAATGTTTGACAAGCGACCTGTGGGGTTTGATTTTATTGAACAAGCTTAAACAAGCCTTCTAGCGCCAGTTGTGGACAAATGAGATCCGTCAAGCAAAGTCAGAGACTTGAGAATCAGTGAACTGACGTTCGCATAACACTTTTCAAGCAAAGAAGGTTGGTAAATATCTGTATGAAAATACAATTCGGAACTCGGATTCCTTTGGCTTGATGTACATTTTACACTGTAAGCCAGTCTAGTGTGAAGTGTCGCGTCACCAACGGCAGTAAAGGGAAGTTTCTTAAGAAATTATATTCTCTCGTTTTTCACTAAGTCAAAAGAACTCGGCCTGTTGTAGTGATATCCCATAAAATGAAAGACTGGATCGTTGAAAACCGGATCATTGCTGTCCACAAGTTTACATTCGTCAAGTACTCACAGGTTTACTAATAGAAACGGACTCTCTAAATGTGTTCTGTTCACTTTCGGACGACACTAGGTAGTCGAGAACATTGTGGTCAGATGCTCTGTCTTCATTGGTCCGAAATGCTGTGATTCAAACTCTTGGGAGTGTAAACTGTCTTGACTGAGCCGTCTTCAACCACCCTTTGAATGGTTCGCGACAGAGTAAGATGGGCTGAAAAGGTAACTCTTCAACGGTTGAATCAGTACGTCAACGACTTCCTATGCTGGCGTATTCAAGGAAGCAATGGTCGGACAGCAATATGCACCACGACTGACGGCGCGCGGCACAGCTACCGTGTGAAAAATGCACTTTTTTATCGAGGAAAAGATGCAAGACGACACTGGGTGCACCTACCCGAGTAATTATCGTTCTGACAGCTAAACATTTCTCTGAAGGTACAGTAGACACGCGAGCAAGATCTCTTTTACCCTCTGAAATGGCATAGACAGCCGACCGTTATATTCCATTCTACACACGTCTAACGATTTTCGCTTGTCAAAAAGATCCCTTGATAGTTGCTCAACACCGAATGAATATAATACTCAGCGCAATACAGCCGTAGGCTGTGCGTCACGAATCTCGGATCAAAACGAAAGGTTTAGTTTATTTTCACCTCCATCAGTAACCAATTTTCACTTTGATCTGTTGCCTGAACAGTTGTGGATGGGCATGCTGATATCCCAGTCCACTCCGAGCATTTCATGTGACGGAGTCTAATCTTAACGCAGTAGCGCTGAGCGGCAGAAGGTGTCTTTCTAGAAGCTTTTTGTCTATTAGGAGACATTCTATCGCGAACGCTTTTGCACGGTGAAATCATTTCCAACATTAGAATGTCCCTGGATCGGACGTTGGTTTTTATGGAAACTGCTGTATTTCTTCGGGTTCAACCTGAGCATCACACGAACTCCACAATGAACGGTTTCAGAGTAACCTGCAGCCGCTGCAGATATCCATGTCCAAAGACGTTCACCAGGTTTCAAGCGTTTGTGGCGTTACCTGATTTGGAAGTCCTGATAGGCGCGGCAGCCAATCGATATAACCAGGACAATTACTGGATCGTCATTCTAAGCGTTGGGGCAACCCACCTCCAATCAAGAGTGAACTTGGTTCTTTCGAGAGACTCACATGGAACCCAGCTGAATCTCTCGTTTATTATGTTCTCAGGCAACTGAATGTGCTGCACCAGGCCGCCTCATGTTTCAGTCGCTACGATATCTGAAATATCGCGATACATTTATATTTGTAATGTACTACTCATAAGGTTACTGAAAATCCATCGACAGCCCACGACCGGTTTCGCCCTCCTTGGGGCTCATCAGGTAGGCGCAGTCCCCGGGTTTCCGTCAAACTTATGTTCTACTTGAAACCAAATTGCACGAAATTGGCGAATATACACTCATCTGCAAGAACCAAATTGGTTTGCAGATGAGTGTATATTCGCCAAGAGTGAACATGTTCGCCTATTCAGAAGTGAAAATTCCGATGTGTCCAACGTGCGCTGGTTGAGTAGTTGTAACACACTCGCCTCCCATGTAGGATATCCGGAGTTTGAAATCCAGCACGGCCAACGATACATACTGCTGATGATCTCTAATAGGAGTGCAACTCGAGTCCAGTGCTTGCCTCCTTGCTTGACCAGAATAATTACGTCAATAGGAGTGAAACTCGAGTCCACTGCTTGCCTC